CGAACCAAATTTATTTTGGTTCGGATTGGGTTACACTTCTTCAAACCCAAAAACCAAAAAACCCAAACCAAATAGCACAAAATCAAACCAAAAAATCAAATGCACACCCCTAATGCCAGGTAGATCCACAAGGGATGGTAAAACCTCCCTAACTAAAAAAAATTTATTTCTCTCTTTCATGAATGAAGCAAGACCAAAGAGGAGGACTTCCACAAGTCAGTCTTCCACAGAATGAACCAAAAGGGATAACATCAAACAAGTAAAAGGAGTTAATTCAATCTGTACAAACGCGTAGTTTTCTTTGACATTTCCCAATAACCCTTCTCCTTATTAAGTTCCTTCTAACTGCGTACTTTAGTCATATTCAAGCTAACAAGTTGCATGAATATGACAACTCTCTACTTTCTATGGCTTTTCTTGATTCCCTTGTTTCAAATCTTATCAGGATATCACATTTTCTTGGTTTCCTCTCAATGTTTTCACGATCAAAAGTCGTTGTTGCTACAGTTGAAGGGCAGCCTTCAGTATGATTCTACTTTGTCAAATGAATTGGCAAAATGGAACGAGAAGACAAGTGAATGTTGCAATTGGGATGGAGTTAAATGTGATCTCTCTGGTCATGTGATTGCCTTGGAACTGGATAATCAGACTATTTCTAGTGGAATTGAGAATTCAAGTGCTCTTTTCAGTCTTCAGTATCTTGAGAGGCTAAATTTGGCTTACAACAGGTTCAGTGTTGGCATACCAGTTGGTATAGCCAACCTCACGAACTTGAAGTACCTGAATTTATCCAATGCTGGTTTTGTGGGGCAAATTCGTATGATGTTATCAAGATTAACAAAGCCAGTTACTCTAGATCTCTCAACTCTTTTCCCTTACTCTGACCAGACACTAAAACTTGAGAATTCCAATTTGAGACATTTCATTGACAACTCAACAGAGCTTAGAGAGCTTTACCTGGATGGGGTTGATCTTTCATCTCAGAGGACTGAGTGGTGTCAATCTTTATCTTCATATTTGCCTTACTTGACCGTCTTGAGTTTGCATGCTTGTCAAATTTCAGGCCCTATTGATGAATCACTTTCTAAGCTTCAGATTCTCTCTATCATCCGTCTTGACCAGAACAATCTCTCTACCACAGTTCCAGGATATTTTGCCAATTTCACAATCTTGACTACCTTGTCCCTCGACTCTTGTAATCTGCAAGGAGCTTTTCCTAAAAAGATCTTTCAGGTACAAGTTTTAGAGATTTTGGACTTTCAAATAACAAGCTGCTTAGTGGTAGTATTCCGAGTTTTCCTCGAAATGGATCTTTGAGGACGATATCACTAAGCAACACCAACTTTTTGGGTTCATTACCAGAGTCCATTTCGAACCTTCAGAACCTGTCCAGGTTAGAGCTCTCCAATTGCAATTTCACTGGACAGTACCTTCAACAATGGCAAACCTTATCAATCTTGTTCATTTGGACTTCTCTTTGAACAACTTCACTGGTTCTATCCCATATTTCCATAAATCCAAGAAACTCGCCCACTTAGACCTATCTCGTAATGGTTTAACTGGTTTCCTCTCCCCGACTCATTTTGAAGGACTCTCAGAGCTTGTCTACAGATATTTAGGGAACAACTTACTCAACGGGATCATTCCTGAATGTATCTTTGAGCTCCCCTCCTTGCAGACGCTTTTACTTAACAGCAATCAATTTGTTGGCCAAGTCAACGATTTTCACAATGCATCCTCCTCTCTGTATGTAATCGATTTGAGCAATAACCACCTGAATGGTTCAATTCCCAAGTCCATGTTTGAAATAGGGATGCTTAAGGTCCTCTCATTGTCTTCCAACTTCTTTAGTGGGACAGTTCCACCTTGACCTCATAGGGAGGCTGAGTAATCTTACAAGACTGGAGCTTTCTTACAATAACTTGACTGTTGATGCAAGTAGCATCAACTCCACCTCTTTCATATTTCCCCAGTTGAGATTATTGAAACTAGCTTCTTGTCGGTTGCAAAAGTTTCCTGATCTTAAAAGTCAGTCAAGGATGATCCACTTAGATCTTTCTGACAACCAAATACGGGGGGCAATACCAAATTGGATTTGGGGAATTGGTAGTGGAAATCTGGCTCACCTGAATCTTTCCTTCAATCAGCTGGAGTACGCAGAACAGCCATACAATGTTTCCAGCTATCTTGTAGTCTTGGACTTTCATTCCAATAAGCTAAAGGGTGACATACCAATTCCACCTTCCTGTGCTGCATATTTGGACTACTCGAGCAATAATTTCAGCAATTCCATCCTACTAGATATTGGCAATTATCTTGGTATATTTCTCTCACTTGCAAATAATCGGCTCGCAGGAAGAATTCCTGAATCTATATGCAATGCCAGCTACCTTCAAGTTCTTGATTTCTCTAACAATGCCTTGAGTGGAACAATCCCACCATGTCTACTGGAATATAGTACAAATCATGGAGTGCTGAATCTAGGTAACAATAAACTCAATGGCGTCATACCAGATTCATTTCCAATTGGTTATGCTCTACAAACTTTAGACGTCAGTGAGAATAAGTTACAAGGTAGGCTGCCAAAATCGCTTGTGAACTGCAAGTTGTTGGAGGTCCTGAATGTTGGAAATAACAAACTTGTTGATCGTTTCCCATGCATGTTGAGGAACTCAAATAGTCTGAGGGTTCTAGTTTTGCGTTCCAATCAATTCAATGGAAGTGTTCAGTGTGATGCAACCAGGAATAACTGGAAAAATCTCCAGATCATAGATATAGCTTCCAACAACTTCACTGGTGTGTTGAATGCAGAATTCTTTTCAAATTTGAAAGGAATGATGGTTGCAGATGATTACGTGGAGACAGGACGCAATCATATCCAGTACAAGTTTCTCCAACTAAGTAACTTATACTATCAGGACACAGTGATAATAACCATCAAAGGGCTAGAGTGGGAGCTTGTGAAAATTCTCAGGGTCTACACAGCTATTGATTTCTCTTCAAATAGATTTCAAGGAGTGATACCAGATACTATTGGGAATCTTAGCTCACTCTATGTTCTGAACCTATCACACAATGCCCTTGAAGGACCAATTCCAAAATTGATTGGGAAGCTACAAATGCTTGAATCACTAGACCTGTCAACAAACCACCTATCCGGGGAGATCCCATCAGAGCTTGCAAGTTTCACATTCTTAGCAGCTTTGAACTTATCGTTCAACAAATTGTTTGGCAAAATCCCATCGACTAATCAGTTTCAAACATTCTCAGCAGATTCCTTTGAAGGAAACAGTGGCCTATGCGGGCTCCCTCTCAACAACAGTTGTCAAAGCAATGGCTCAGAGTCCCTGCCTCCACCAACTTCGCTACCAGACTCAGATGATGAATGGAAGTTCATTTTCGCAGCTGTTGGATACGTAGTAGGGGCAGCAAACACCATTTCACTTCTGTGGTTTTACGAACCAGTGAAGAAATGGTTTGATAAGCATACGGAGAAATGCTTGCTTTGGTTTTCAAGAAAGTGATCCTTAAACCCATAAATGATGAGTTTATTTAATCCTTGCTTTGTTTAAATAAACACCAGGATCCAAATTCAAGTCAGTTTGTTATTTCCCTTGATGAATGTATACAATTTTCTACTATCAGAAACAGCACCCACTTTTGGATTAAATAGCTTCCCACATTGCCTGCAACACATTGATAAATTAGCTCTATGCCAACATAGTCTTCTAATTTTGTATACACAAAAAAGAGAGAAAATGAAGACGTGGCAAGTGATGTGAATCTGTCGAAGAGAAAAGCTAGAAGGCAATGAAAATGTTAGTAAATGAAGTAATGAATTATCACATCCCCTTGACAATCAAAGTAGTGGAATATGAATGACCATGTCTAATTGGGTCCAAGACTGATAAAGAGAGTATGAACTTAACACATGTCGTGATTAAATTTCTAATAACAAAAGTGAGCAGAAAATTGTGAAATATACCCATCACTAAACTATAACCAGTTGGATACCATATACAGTTTCCAAGCTACCATTTTGTAGAGTGCAACACCGCCATGTCTACTGGAATATAGTACAAATCATGGAGTTATGAATCTAGGGAACAGTAGTATTTATGGTGTTATAATTTCCAATTGGTTGTTCTCTACAAACTTTAGACCTAATTGAGGCAAAATCACTGGTTATTGGTTAATTGAGTGCAGAATGTGTACTGAATTGGAAATGAATGATGGTTGCAGATAATTACATGGAGCCGGTGTCAGCTCTACCGAGTAAACCTATCAGTGACAATAACAATGAAAAGGATGGAGGTGAAGTTTGTGCAAAATCTCAGAGTCTACACATGTATTGATTTCTCTTCAAACAGTTTTCAAAGATTATCGCAAATATTCAACAGAATTTCAGCTCGCTTAACGTTCTGAACTTGTCACACAATGACTTACAGAGACCAATTCCAAAATCAATTGGGAAGCTAAAAATGTTTGAATGATTAGACCTGTCCTGGAACAAGCTATGTGGAGAAATCACTGCAGAGCTTGAAAATATCACATACAAATTGTTTGGCTAAATTACGCCAATCAATAAACTTCTCACATATTCTCAGAAGCAAATAGGCCTATGCAGGTTTCTTCTTAAAGATTGCATAAGCAAATGACTCTGAGCTGCTGCTGCTCTCACCAAATCTTGTACTGCATTTCTGTGATTTTACGAGCACTGAAAAAATTACTCCTCTGTTCCAATATCCAATTTACGTGTACTTTCCGGTTTTTTTCGAAATTCAAACAATTTAAGTTTGATTAAACTTAAATGGTTTGAATTTCGAAATTCGAATAGTGAGTGTTTGACAAGCAAACGAGTTGCAGCTTACGCCTTGCTGGGAATTGGGATTGCATTTTTTTTCTCAAAGCCCAACATCGCAAAAGCCCAATAAGTCACGCTTCAAGTTTGGCCCTTGCCCTCAAGCTTGATATTATTAATTAAATTAAATATAAATACATTGAACCCCAGCCCCACTGTCCACTACGATTAGGGTTTTGGGTTTTCCAAAGGTTAGCAGACGTTCAATTTCTCTGTCGCCATGAGAGCTAAGGTACCATTTTTCACTATGTGAAAGCTAAATCATCCATTATTGCTTCTATGTTCGTCGCATTAACTGATAATTCAATGTTTGTATGTATAATGTCTTTTTATCGATTGAAAAATTAAAATTGTGTGATAATATTTACAGTGGAAGAAGAAGAGAATGAGGAGGTTGAAGAGGAAGCGCCGAAAGATGAGACAAAGATCCAAGTAGTCCTTTTCCTACTTTGTTCGTGTCGTTTGATTGACTTTTGTTCTAGGGTTTTGAATCTTATTTTGTCCCTAAAATTTCTCAGTTATTGATGAAAAACTTGAATTTGTTATTTCACATACATTTGGAAGTTTTTATCGGAGTTACCTCAGTTATTCGATATTTTTGGCAATCCTTAGCTACTCTATTAATTGATTTTTCTGAACTTGTGTATCCAATGTGATTTGAATTGAATCTTGTGCAAGCTTCTCTTTAGGAGTTGGCCTGTATTGAACTTAGGCTACTTGATTAAGGTCATGTTGGAGCCATCTATTGTCTGCTGTAGGAGTTCGATAAATGCTGAACTGGATTCTCTAGAGCTTTAACGGATGTTCATAGTTAATGATTGATACTAGATTCTCTAGAGCTTTAACGGATGTATTTAATTGTTAGATGATTGATGCTGGATTCTCTAGAGCTTTAACGGATGTCTTTCATTGTTAGATGATTGATACTGGAATCTCTAGAGCTTTAATGGATGTATTTCATGGTTAGATGATTGATGCTCTAGAGCTTTAACGAATGTATTTCTCGTTAGATGATGGATGCTGGCTTCTCTTGAAAGAAAGCTAAAATTATTTCATGGTACAACTTTAGGGATTGAACCTTTAGCTTTTAATAGAAGTTTTCCTTCTAGGATTATGATTAGTGGTCTTACCTTTAGAGGACATAAAATGCTTAACTTTCGCAAGTACTCTTACTAGAACCTTTAGTTGCCATCCTGGATGGTGTTTGTCTTATGTTATAGATTCTTGTTATTTATCGACCTTTCTAAAACAAGTTATTGATATAGGATAGTTTTGGTTCTCAAGTTTTGGTAGCTACTCATTAGGTGCAACAACATATCCGATATAGTTCCACAAGGTGTCTTGTCTGAAGGACGGGTACTTCAACGGGCTAACCTTGTGAATCATCCTTCTTCAAGGATGGGTACTATCTGACTGATTAAGAAGTTAAACCAGTGAAATGCTATATGATGTTTCCTACAATTGAGCAAATGATCCATTCATTAGGAACAAATTTGTTGCCTGTGTAGGAGTAAATGATGGATTTATCGACTCCATAATTGTAATGAGATCCATTATCCATACTATTTAGTATTGAAATGAAATGGACCTAAATAGACTGGAATACAACAGAGTATTTCCATGTAGCTGAGGTTGAACTAATTTGTGACTGAGATGTGGTCGATGGATTATTGAAATGAAATGAACCTACATTATACTTGCAATGTGTGAGATTTGCAAATGTGACATTACTCTGCTTTGCACATCTTGTGCAGTTGTTGAAGATCAATTGAAACGTTTTCCTTCCTAGATGTGTGGAATATTTTCTGTTGAAGTACATGTTTCTTTTTGTGAAATAATAAAATAGAGATAATATTATTATCAATACTCTCTCTTGGAAAAGTAAAGATGGATAGGGGAGTAATAATAAACACTACAAATCTCAGCTGTTGGATGGAACAATGTCACATTATTACAATTACAAACATAGGACGGGTAATATTATACATGGGAATAGAAATACATTAAAGAGTTATGAAATTTTAATATCTACGGTAAATGGAGTTCAAAGTCGGTTTTGAGGCTGAGAATTTTTTTTAGCAAAATCCTTTTAATGAAGGATGTATTTCCTTCGGTGTTTATGTATTGTGTTTGTCAAATCACAATTGCTATTTCGAAGAATAAATTTTATAATATAAAATGTGAAATCGGGCTTGAAGCTCTCACCTTACCAACAAGCCGAGAGTTGATGGCTGTTGGTCACGACTACTATCATGAGACATGATGTCATTAAGCAATTGTATGAGAAGTGCCATCAGGCTGCTCTTATAATATTTGGCCTAGTCTCTAGAACTTTCATGAATAACCAAGCACACGTATTTCTATAAGTTAAATATTATCAATCTGAGTTTGATTTATAGTCGAAAAGACACCAAACCTATTACATTTTTTGATGTTTTTAAATCCAACAAATTTTACTCATCTTTCTATAAGATCTTTAATTTAAAATAGTGAGGGATTGAAGTGTTATTTAAAAGATTTTAACACTTAGGTCTCGTCTAATACAACCACTTGTCATTAAGGGTGTACATGACCGGGTTGATTCGGATTTTTCAAATATCAAACCAAATCATTTCTATCGGATTTTTAAATCTATAAACCATACCAAATCAATAAAACTCGGGTTTTTCAACTTCGGATTTTTTCGGGTTTATCGGATTTTCGGATTTTTTTCCAGAAAAGTATTCATACAAACATATAATTTACTTGTATTTCAAATATTTCTTTAGTCCTACCAAAATACAACTATCTAAGGTGTTTCTTAAGAAAATAACACAAAATATTATATGAGTAATGATACTAAAATATCCAACAAAAAATAATAATAATAATAATGAAATCGCGTAAAACAAATATTGCAATTAACAAGTCATAATGAAAATGATCATAATTTAAAAGTACTAAATCATGCTAAAATAAGTTTAATAAGTATTAGTTACATGACTAAATATTAAAGGAAATTAAAATTAGATTATGTATTTGAATAAACCAATGTAAAACCATAGAACAAATATTCAATATTATTGTCATTCTTAGTGTTGAATTGATTATTTTTTTTGCTTTAGTATTAATTTAATTTTGATTTAAGCTTTATTATAATTACCAACAT